TCCCCACCGCAACCACCACCACCACCACCACCACCACCATCTGACCGTCCTCCCACCCCACAGCCCTGTCTGACCCCTTTTCCATCCAGATCTACACCGTCTCCCTCATTGCAATCTGTTCCTCACTGGCTGACCTCGCAGTACACTGGTAGTATGTTGTGAGCAATAGTACAAATACTAAATCAAACTTTACTGGTTCTGCAACTTCTTTAAGCGTGTGTACAGACATGAGAAATGCTGTCATGATGTATTCGAAGTTATGGATATGTACATTTTGGTCTAAAATTGCCCTCCATGCAGACTATTAGTTCTACAATATAATTAATTTACAATGGAGCACCAGAGCAATTTCCAAATTGTGTGTCTCTCTTTCATTTTTCTGCCCTTTTGACTTGACTTTTTTTGTTCACTTCTGCAGAATTTCATGGTTCTGGTGGAATTTTGCCATACCAATGCAGTCCAGAGGGCCATAAACTATCTTTTGAATCTGCTTGCCTGCACAGATTTGAAGCATGCAGCTTTCACTGCATTTCCCATTGCTCTAGGTAGCCCCTAAGAAAGGAATTGTCTTTGAAATAATGGTGTAGACAGGGAATAAAACAAAACCATTTTTAAAAATTTATTTGTAGGAAAGGGTAGTGCTGGCTGGCCAGCATTTGTTGCCCATCCCTAGTTGCCCTTGAGAAGGATAGTGGTGAGCTGCTTTCTTGAACCACTGCAGTTCATCTGCCATTAGGGAGGGAATTCCAAGAATTTAACCCAGCGACAGTGAAAGGAAAGGCGATTATATTTCCAAATCAGGACAGTGAGTGGCTTGGAGGGGAACTTGAAGGTGGTGGTGTTCCCATGTATCTGCTGCCCTTGTCCTTCTAAATGGAAGTGGTTGTGGGTTTGGCAGATGCTGTCTGAGGATGTTTGGTGAATTTGGTCTGATCTGTGGGTTGCTGCAGCCAGGGTTGTTTGAAAGTTGGCACTTCAGCACAAAATGGGGGAGCTGGCAGCATATGATCAAAGAAGGGTTTATGTACACTGATGCTGATCTGATTGTTTTCCAATTATAAATCAGCAGCCACATGTTAGTGTTAATCTTGAATATTGCTGAGGCAATCTCCATGTTGCTTTCCCAATGGCAATGTTTTGACCAATCAGTCGATTTGCCAAACAATTAGCACCCTTTCCCCTGTGGAATAAATTGTTGAAATTATGTATTCTTGCATTCGTCCTGATAAGTGCAGGATGAAAGCCTTCCATCGTGTCCCTCTTTTCAGCAAGGTACAATTGGAAAATGAGTATCTAGCAAACCAGTGATGCAAATTAATTCGTATCAAAACCAATGTGTGCAAATGGGGAGGCTCGGAAAAGCTTAATATTTAATTTCGCCTGTGGGGTCTTGTTTTGAGCAAGGCCATGAATGGAAGGCAAGGTGTTACCTGATAGGGCAGTCAGGCAGGTAATCCTTTCACTCCTCCCTTGCTGGTTCTGGAGGGCAGTTTGTGCATGGGGTTTAACTCCATTATATTTCCTGACAGATCATGTTGCTGATTTGATGAGAAGAGATGGGTCAGTCTTAGCCACAAACTGGAAGCTGGAGCTGTAAACTGAAAGTTATGCCTCTCTTTTTGAGGCATTTCAACATATCAGCCATGCAGATATCCTGCAGATTGGTTTCAAATTACGTCAGTCGGATGCGGTGAGTGTTACCACTTTTTTTTTTATTATGTCAGAAATACTCTACCGTACAACTGATTGGGTGATGGAGCAAAACAAAATCACCCACATCGTTATTTCATCTATTGACCACCACCAGTAAATCATCCATGGTTTCCACCTGATTAATTTTACATGCAAAACCCCTTAAGAGGAATATAGACTATTGAGTGTTCCCTGTTTGTCTTTCCATTTATTTATTTCATGTGTGTATTTTTATTTTCCAGTTGAGTTGATTCCGAGGCAAAGAAATGTGCTGTTCAGTGTTGAAGTGCATTATCAACATTGGGCTTTCCCAGACAAAGGAAGCACACAGCACATGCAAAACAAAATTATGTCACTATGAGCCAAAAATGTATTGGGCAATTCCATATTATATCCATGCAATAATTTTCCTTTTCTAATGCAGTTACGCTCAGGCCCTGAATCTCGAGTCCAATTTTAAATTGCATTTAAAATGTCTTCCTGCTAAATAAGTAACAACATATATCTATGATGATCACACATACAGAACGTTTTCTGGGTTTTAGTCCAAGTTTGCTTCTCTTTTCTTTCCTGCAGAATTTCTTCTGTGAGGGTTGTGAATCATGTCATTAAAAAAAAAACAAAAAGAACTGAAGAAACTCGGTCTAGCAGCATCTGTGGAGGGAGAAACAGAGTTAATATTTCGAGTCTGATTAACTCTCCTTTGAAGAGTTGTATCGGACTCAATGTTAACTCGATTTCTCTCTCCATTTTAATTTCAGATATGCTGAATTTCTCAATTTCCTGATTTGATTACAGGTCTCTATAATCCACAGTACTTTGCTTTTGTTTATTCTTCATGTTGCATTCATTTCCAACCAAGAGGAGAGCTGGTAAAGACTCCTCTGTTACCAACCAAGATCTCACCATTTTCCCTGTGTTTGGATTTGTAAATTTTATGCAGTATCTTGAGAATGCACATGAAATCTTTAAAGTTGATGGCAATGCCGGCTGCTCCAAATGCGCAATTTTGGAAATTTGGTAAAAATGCCTTGTCTCATCAGACAACTAGAGGGTATGCCAAGTGGCTGATATCTCTTATGTGTGCAGACTTTTCACTGCACCTCTGAAAATATGGATTAACTATTATGGAAATATTGTTTCGAAATGCAGCTACCTGCTTGAACTAAAGGAGGATGATGAAGCCTGCCGGAAAGCTCTGCGCTCTGGAGCCTTTCTTCTCTTTCACAGTTTCTCACCCCTTTTGCAAAAAAGTGACAGCAAATACATGGCACCGTTTGTGATGGCCTCAGGTATGACTGCTGCAGAACAAAGGCATGGGGGGGGCGGTGGGGTCTGTGTCAATCCTTTAGTTATTTTTTTAGAAATTGAAAATGAATGTCTGAGTATGATCTTTAAGACACTATAACCCAACGAAGAGTGGTGATTTCGTCTTACATTAAATAACATGATTAGAAGCTGTTCATTAGAGTGTTCTGAACAGGAGAGCCCTAGAATTATATAGCAGTGCAACAAACCCTTCATAGTTTTGGCTCCACTACTCTGGGGGAAAAAGACCTTGGCTATTCACCCTATATGTGCCCCTCATGATTTTATAAAGGACACCCCTCAGCCTCCGACACTCCAGGGGAAAAAAAAGCCCCAGCATTTTCAGCCTCTTCTCATGGCTCAAACTCTCTTTATCTCTTCACCATCCCTGCAAAAAAAGATTTTCAATTAGTAGTGTTGATAAAACGGTGTAGGAACTGTCCAAATGTCATACAAAAATAATTATACACTTGTTAAAATGTCTGAGTGAGCATAAGCAGAATCTTTCAAACCTTCCTTTGTGTATTATTTTGGTCTCTGATGTGATTATGCCATTTCTTAAATATATCAGAGGCATAAAGGTTGATGGGGATAGTGTGGGTAAAAGGCATTGATGTGTTCAATCAGCCATGACCATATTAAATGGTGAAGCAGGCTTTATGGGCTGAATGGCTTATTCCTGTTCCTATATTTCTAGAAACAGTGCTATTTTAAACAATGTCATCTTCCCTTCCAGAACTGAATGGCATTCTCCACAAACTGGATCAGAAGGAGAAATATATGGAACAGTCAGTGCTGATTGGCTGTACAGAGAGCCATGTGCCACAATTTGCCCTAGATCTAGGTAAGACTATCATGCAAGGATCTGTATTCAAAATGAATGTAACTATCTTATGTTAGGCAACACTGACAGCAACATAAAGCATACACCTTTATTTAACTTCTGTGAGCCTTGCAAACACATACCTACTTTACACTGATTCACATTGTAGAACACTTTTTTTTTCTTAAACAAGTAACTTGGCAGGTTTTCAGTATACATTGTTTGAAACAGGATGGGGCAAATTAATTTACGTCTCATTTTCATGCAACTCTGTTCCTTCTCCACATAGGTAGATACTTTATTTGCAAAGATGATGGAAACAGATTCAATAGCAATGCCCAAAATATGGGGAGTAAATACTAACTGAAGATTGGCAGAGGTCTAGAGAATGAGCAGGGCATGGGTATAATTGGATAGCTTTTTCAAAGAACCAACAAAGGCTGGATGTACTGAATGTAGTCTCAAATTATGATGTGCATCTGCAGTTTGTTTCTTTTGTGTTATAATTGACCCTCTTGCCAAGGTCTCCTTCACCAAAAAGCATATTTTTATCCTATTCCTTGTCAAATTACTGGTGGCTGTCTCACTTTATTTTTTTGTTCATCAAAGCCCATTAATGCATGGAATCTCTGTTTGGTTGTCCACTTGTTTCAAAGCCCCTTCCAACTGTTCCTTGAGTCTTGCGCCTCTTATGAATTAGGAGCATAAATAGATTATTCAGCTCTTGCTGACGTGACAGCCTGAAACACTAGAGTTTTTAAAATAAAATTTCTTAGTAAAGACTAGAAAAAACTTAGAACTCTTAAAATGCCACTTCCGATAACACAGTTGACAATTGATAATGTTCTAACTTGTGCTTTTAACTTTAGGTAAAATTGAAAAAGCCAGAGCTGAATCGGTTCTGAAGGGAACATTTGTTGATTTACGGAAAGCCTTCTTCCTCTTGGATGGAAAGGATGCGCCCTTGCTGTCAAAGGTAGAACACACTTTGGCAAACTTTGAAAATAGTGTGTTTTCCATGGCAATGCCTTGACCAAGGGGATTTGATTTGTCAGCCATTCAGTACTCTTTTCTCATGCCGTATAAAATGTTGCACCCATTGTAGTTTGGAATTCTTGAGTCTGTCCTGATAAGTGCAATTTGAAAAGCTTCACAGCATGTTTTTCTTTAGAAAGAAAAGATTTTTTCAAGCGTTATTTCCATTCAAGAGCATACATCAGATTTAGACATTTTGCTGTCTAAATGAGCGCACCTCATCAGGCTATGCTTACGGTGTGAGATTGAATTTGTAATCTGTGTTCCCCAAACTTTATTTGATTTGATTGCATTCGAAACACCTGTCAATTACTTGATAAAATTGAGCTGGTAGATCCGTCACTAGGTTACAATAATTTTTATATCTTCACAATCTTCTCTTTGAGATTAG